ACTACAATTTTCTAATTTTATGAAACCCAATAGAACGGAATAGAATTAACAAAACCATATTCAACACAGATGTTGGGACTACCTGACAGGAAACTTTAAACAATTGTGATTCCTATATTAAAGGCTCTAATGAAAAATAGGGGCAATGTGTGAGATCAGCAGAAATGCAAAAACTATAGGAAAGAACCAAATAAAAAGGCTAGCAATGCAAATATAGCAACAGAAATAAAAGTATTTTAGTGAGTTCATTAATATAGTGACTTGATATAGCTGAAGATATAATTGGTGAATTCAAAAGATAGATCTATAGCCAGGCGTGGTGGCACACTCCTGTAATCCCAGCACTCAGGAGGCTGAGGCAGGAGGATCACTGTGAGTTCGAGACCAGCCTGGACTACATAGTGAGTTCCAGGTCAGTCTCAAACAAACAAACAAAAAAACAAAACAAAACAAAAGATAGATCTATAAAAATTATCCCAACCTAAACATCCAAGATCTGTGGAACAATACCAAATGCTCTAACATCACATATTCCAAGTCCAAGAAATAAATGAAAAGGATAATAGAAGAAATAGAAGCTGATAAATTTTCAAAATTAATGACATACACCAAACTACAAATCCAAATATCTCAGAAAACATCAGGATAAATACCAACAATGAAAAGGATACAAACTTAGGGGCATCATATTAAAATTGTTGAAAACAAAGCAAAAGGAGCATCTTGAAAGTATGTAAAAGAGAAAAACACTATGTATTAAGAAACAAAAATAAGTATTATGAGTTGAGTATGGTGCTGTAATCCCAGCATTCTGAAAAGTTGAGGCAAGAGGATTGCAAGTTCCAGTCCAGCCTGGGCCACTCAGGGACTTTGTGATACCTTGTCTCAAAATTTAAAAAATTAACAATAATAATAGTAATAGGGCTGGAGAGTAGTCCAATGTGAGGCACTCTGAATCCTCAGAACTACCAAGAAGGAAAGAAAGGAAGGAGGGAAGGAAGGAAGGAAGAAGGAAGGAAGGAAGAAAAAGAGGGAGGGAGGGAGAGAGAAAACAAGAAAGAAAAAGGAAGGGAGAGAAAGAACAAGGGAGAGAAAGACAAAAAGAATTTCAGCAGACTTCTTACTAGAAGTCAGAAGATAATGGAAAAACAAACTAAAAAAATCCTATCATTCCAAAACCTATATCTGATTAAATTATTTTTCAAAAATGAAGGAGCAACTGCTCATGGTGGCACATGCCTACTATCCCAGCCCTTGAGAGGTGGAGGCATAAGGATTGCAAGACTGAGCCCAGCCTGGTGTGGCAGCCTGGGCTACAGAGTAAAACCCTGACTCAAAAAAAAAAAAAGGAAAAAAAGAAAGAAAGAAAAAGAAAAATTCTTATTCAAGTGAACAAAAACTGAGAGAATTCATTGCTGATAGACTTATAGTACAAGAAATATTAAAAGAAGTTCTTTACGCACAGGAATAGTATACCAAACTGAAACTTTGATTTATATAAAGAAATATAGAGTTACAGAAATAAAATAAATGATAAAATTCTTTTTTAAAATCACAAAATTAAAAGGTAAATGTCTGAAATGAAAATAGTGTTCATCTACTTGGTATATAGCAGACTGGTACTCAAGTCAGCTTCCATTGCTCCTACCTGGCCCAGCTGCTAGAGTCCTGGGCCAGCAACCTAAGGGTGTGGACCACCCTGATTGTGAATAGCACCATCCAATGGGCTTGCAGCCTAAATAGATTGAAAGGAAAAGAAAGAGGAAGTCTGTTGTATTTTTAGAAGCTCCATTTTACCCAGGCAAGTGCATTTTTGCTTCTCTTACCTGGGGAAGGAAGGATATTTCAAGCTCCAAGGGACTTAAACTGGGTCAACAGTCCAGTGAAACTTGGTGATGTACTCAGTACCTCTAATCAGCTCACCTGGCACTATGCCTACACTCCTAAGCCAGTCATTGCCAGGGTGGGAGGGTGGGTAATTCTCCTTGGCCATGTCTATATAATGGGTCAACCTGGTTTCCAAGGGAAGAACCAGCCAACCAACAGAGCCTAGACATTGAAGAGGGGTGTTGTTACTAGAAGAAGGGGGGCTATACATCTGCACAAATGGATCCATCCTGAATGTTATGCACTGAACAATAGAGCTTCAAAACGCATGATAGAGCTGATATAACTGAAAGATAAACAAGTCCATAATTAGTTGGAAATCCTTCTACTTTGTTTTGTCTTGCTCTGCAGCCAGAATATAATTAATTTCCCTTATCCCCTTGAAAACTTAGGAGACCAGTAGTTCTTTGCCCTCAAGGAAGGGAAATTAGCTTTTCCTTTGCTAATTATTCTGATTTAGGATTTAATGGGCCATGGAGAATAGCTGTTAAAGAAAAAGAGGAAAAGAGTGCCTTTGAGAATAAATAGAGGACAGACAGGGATTGCACCCAGAATAAAAGAGGTCAAAGATGGAGTGGTCACAAGCCTGATTTGTGACCAAGTCATCAGCAACGTCATATACCACTCAGGGGCAGAATCAGGGTGGCAATGAGGACCATCTGATGGCAATGTGATGCTCTAGGGAAGTGGGTCACCACTTTGAGAGCTCTTTGGAGCATTCTGCATCCCAAGTGAGTGAGTGACTGCTAGACCAAAAGGGAATATGTGAACTATGGCAATTCGTACACTTAATTAAGTGATAAGAGAAGTGCAGGTCCATGTGAGACAGTGTAACATGGCTTTCAGCTCTGGCCAGGGTTATCTAAGCATGAATATCAGCCCCTGTGCCTTTCCTATTGTGTCTCTGGCCTGGACGGCCTTCCTAGCTTATCTTTGCCCACTCCAAGCCTCACAAAGCCCCCCAGCTTGGCCTTGGCAGCTCTTCTCCTTCTTTCAGCTTACTGTAGCAGGAACTTGCTGTCAAAATGGTGCCATGCATTCACTCTTTGATTGCTGAATACAGACAGAAAAAATATGTTTACAAAATAATCCAAAAGACTTAGCCAGACTGGAAACCAAGATTAGCATATTTGTTAATCTGAGTGGAGAGTAGCTGCAGCCTGCTGGGCCCCAGGTCTGAAGACAAGCAGTGGATACGAAAGACCAAGAAAGCTCCAGTCAAAACGGCAGACGGGACCAGAGAGAGGCCTCTAAAGGACCTAGCGTGGGCTCTCTTCTTCCCCATGACATTAAGTGACCAACCTCTAGAGTCCAGGACCCTGGATCTCCAAAGCTGTAGACTAAAGAGACAAAAACAAGATGTTGCTTTGTGACCAAGAACTGAGTCCAGAGGTCAGTTTTTTTTCTCTGCATCCAGATCTGCAGAATCCCCAAACAATTATTGGGCAAGACCTCTCTAGGGTCCAGTGGTCCAGTTCTGAATCAGGGACAACAGCAAAGCTGCTTGATATGGAAGAGTGGGGGAGGGAGGGAGAGGGAGAAAAAGGAGGGAGGGGAAGGAGGGAGGAAAGGAAACAAGAAAAGAAGGAAGAGAGGGAGGGAGGAAGGGAGGGAGAGAATAAATGTCTTCCCAAACTCAAATGAGACTGAAAATCAAGATCCCAAAACATATGCAGAAACCCAGTCCTTACAAAGACAGTTTACAGAACCAACACTCAAAACATCAATTCATTCCAGATAAAATTAATCTATAGAATAATTGACAAAGACTAAAATAAGTACACTTAAGGTGTTAAAGATATAAATAAAGGCATAAATAGTATAATCTATATGTTCTATAAACATAATGTGTGACATTAAATAAAACTATTTTGAAGCCCACTATAAACTTTATTTGATGTTCAAATAAACTTTGTACAACAAGGGCAATCAATCTCCTCTTGCCCTTGGATGAAAATTCTAGTAGTTCTGATCTTTATTTTTGTCTACTCATTCTTCATAAGAAGCCTTTGGTCACTAAAATTGCAAACACAATGTTTCTGGAATTGATTTAGATTTAAACCTTTGCTTTAAATAAGATCTGCTCCAGGCTGGAACCTTACAACCAGGCCAAGGAAGCCATGACTGCTGTCTTCTCTCCTTTCTTACAACTCCTCTGTCACATGACAATGACTTTACTCATGCTGTGTTAGAGGTGGAAATTGGAGGACAGAAGGAAATGAAAGGGAACAGCACAAGTTTTTTCTTGTCTGGACGGCATGACCACTTCTGTGCCTGGCATAGACAGCTGTTAATAGCCCAATATAGCTCTTGTGCTTGCCTAGTATACAGCAGGCCCTGGCTTCAAACTCCAGTACTGCCACAAAAAAAAGGTGTCTCACATATAGTTAGAATCACAGTAAGTCCTATCAGTGTGTTGGTTGAAATTCAGAATAAAGGTCTCACTCCCAATGATGAATGTAACTGTATTGTATACCTAAAATGTACCAATAAACTCAATAAAAGAAAAAAAAAAGAATAAAGGTCTCACTGTAACATCTGGTTAAAACAAGAAAATAGGAAATAAAAACTGCAAGCAATTTTAGATGATGGAAAATTAAAAAATATAACGTAGGGTTTTTATGTAAACTTCACCTCTTTTCTTCTAATGTTAAATTTTATATAACACAAATACTTTTATTATAAAAAGCAGGAAATTAATATTGATACAATATTTTATAGATTTATTTGCATATAACTAATTTTCCAAATAATGACTTTTTCCCACCCAAGATTTTATCTAGAATCCCACATTGTATTTACTCATCATGGCTTGTTAGGATGATTTTTTTTTTTTTTTTTTTTTTTTTTGCCATGAGAATCTTTTTTACAATTTGTTTGTATACATTTTGCATGTTTCTAACAAAAATAAACTTAACAAAGTTTATACCAAAGTATTTAATCTTTCTATTGTTGTTTTATGTAGTATTTTCTCTATTATGGTATCCTTTAACAGGTTATTATTATGGATGTGATAGCTACTTGATTTTATATGTTAATTTTATATTCAGATACCTTCCTGAATTATTATTATAATTATTATTATTTTATTTTATTTTATTTTTTTGGTACTGGGGATCAAACTTGGGTCCTCTTGGTTGCAAGTGAAATTTTTTGATTTAGCATCATCGTTGATTTCAAAGGTTTTCCAAGTACATATGCTTTGATTGATTGGTGTCTCTGTCCCCTTACATTCATGTGTGAAAGTCTTAAGTCCCAGAACCTCAGAATGTGACTATGTCTGGAGATAGGACCTGTAAAGAGGAGAATGAGGTAAAATGAGCCCATTGGGACAGGCATGGTTTAATCTGACTGGTGTCCTTCCCCTTTCCCAGTACTGAGGATTGAATAATATATTTTGTGTAACTCAGTGTCAAGCTTGACCTGAAATGGTTAATGAATCTGCTCTTTAATTCCAAGCTACAGTTTGACAAGACACAAAAAAACCCAACAAAACTGGAAGCCGATACAGGTACTGTCTCCATCTGACAAAAGCCATGCTGTATAGGAGCAGATCGAACACAGCACACAGGATAGGGCGATCCCGACATAGAGATAACAAACAACTACAAAGTACAGCATTTTTTCAATGTCAAGTTACTTGAAAATATCCACACATCTGCATTGATCACTGCATGGACCCTGATCAGAAATATTTGCTCTGACCCCTATATGTGATAGATGTTCCAGACTTCTCTTTCCAGTGCCCTATAAAGCTTCCTGCCTTTTCTTTGCTAGGGGCTGATGGCCTCTTGCTTGCTGTCAGTCCACCTCTGCCTAGGTGAATAAAGTCTGTACCTCTTTGTTTTCACTAGCCTGCTCAAGTAGTCTCATTCATTGGTTACACTCAATATACTAAAAATATGATAATTTTGACACTTAATCAATATTTTATATTCTTTTCTTCATATAAAGCCTTCAAACTCTGTATTTTATACTTACCAGAGATTTCAATGTGCTCCCGCTTCACTTCAAGTGCTCAGCAGCCCCATGTGGCTGGTGGTTACTGAATTGAGTAATGAAGGTTTGAAGAATGGTTATTATTTCCCCATGGAAAAATGAAATGCAAAGGCTCATAAAAAACTGCAGTGAGGAGGTTCCACTTGACCCAGCTATTCCCCTTCTTGGTATCTTTCAAAAAGAATTAAAAGCATTATACCATGTTTATAGCGGCACAGTTTGTAATAGCTAAATTTTGGAAACAGCCCAAATGCCCATCAATTGATGAATGGATAAAGAAGATGTGGGTTTTTAAAAAAGTACAATGGAGTACTACTCTGCCTTGAAGAAGGATGGGCTTGAGATATTTATAGCTAAATGGATGCGCCTTGTGACCATGCTCTTAAGTGAAATAAATCAAACATATATGTTTAAATACCACATTGTTTCTCTTGTGTGAGAAACTGGAAGTGGAAATAAGGACTAAAATGTACAATAGACATTTGCAAATGGGGATAAAATGTTCAAACGGGAAGGGAAACAAGGGAGGGGGAGGGAGAAAGGAAAGAAGGGACAAGAAAAAGAGAAAGTAGAAGGAAAAATGGAAGCAAAGATTTCATACATACAGAAAAAAGGAGAAAAAGGAAGCAAAGATATTGTTATAAAGAATCCACTTGTCAGCTACAACAACAACAATAGGGAGGGGGAGGGAGAAAGGAAAGAAGGGACAAGAAAAAGAGAAAGTAGAAGGAAAAATGGAAACAAAGATTTCATACATACAGAAAAAAGGGGAAAAAGGAAGCAAGATATTGTTATAAAGAATCCACTTGTCAGCAACAACAACAACAAAAAAAAACAGGCTCTTTGTTGTGAGAAAAAGAAAAGTTTATTCCAGTTAACAGGGACTAGAAATCAGAAGATTTTAGCAGCTAGCTGGGAAAGGCCGAGTTCACCACATCTGTGTAGGGATGGGCTGACAATGAGAGAGAGAGGCGCAGCTAGCTGGGAGCAGTTTCACCCACGGGTGGACGGGCTAGCAATTAACTGGGATAGGAATTAGGCTCATGCAGGTATTGAAGGGGCTAAGGAATCTGGGGTGACATATGTATGACTTAAGTGCCCAAGGCCAGTCTGGTCAGGTATGTATAAATTACTGGACTTTTTGGCACCAAGGGATTGTAAACCATGTTTTTTAGTTCATTTGCCTCATTTACTGGGAAGCTGCTGATATTTGTTAAAAGTAGCCTGTTTATTTTTCCTGTTGATTTAGGGCAGGCTTGACAGATATATCATATACTGATACAAATTCCCTAAGCTGAATGTTATCATTATATGTATCTAAAATGTACCAACAAATGGTGTTTCTTTGTTTTTTGAGACAGGATCTCACTGTGTAGTTAAGACTGACCTGGAACTCACTATGTAGCCCAAACTGGTCTCAAACTCACAGCAGTCCTCCTGCCTCAGCCTCCTGAGTGCTGGGATTACAAGTGTGTGCCACCACGCTTGGCTCCAACAAATGTTTTACTAAAACAAACAAACAAACAAACAAAACAAAAAACCTGCAGCGAATGTTTGAATTTTTTAAAAAATTGCTACAGTAAAAGACACATTAATAGCCCTCAAAATATTTCCCTTTGCTTCAAACACACTAATTCCATAGTTCTTGCTTTTTCTGCAATAGTCCTGGAAGTCCTCTTTTAGATCTCTACTTGTGGAGGTGCGGATTTAGCTCAGTGGTTCTGCTGTCTGCCTCACAAGTGCAAGGTCCCGAGTTTGATCCCCGGTACCAAAAGAAAAGAAAAGAAAAAATGTCTCTCTAACTGGGCTATTGTTGCTGCCTCGATGTCCAAAACGTTCAGAACGTTACCTTTCATGGTCATTTTGATTTTGGAGAAGAGCCAGAAGTCACATGGTACCATGTGTATAAGTGAGTAAGGTGGAGGAGACCACACACCGTAATATTTTTACAAGCTTGCCCTCCCACTGGATGGCACTTGGCAGCAGCATTCACTCAATTTTTGATCACACCTCATAAAGACACAAAGGAAGACTCCCAGAACTGGTTCCAAAAGTGGCAAGAAAGATGAGATAAGTGTGTTCAAAGCTAAAAGTCGTATTTTGAGGGGACTGATGACAATATATAATTTTTAAAAATTTGAACACACAACTTTTTTTTTTTAGGGGGTACTGGGGATCTAACTCAGGACCTTGCACTTGCAAGGCAGGCGGCAGAACCACTAAGCTAAATCCCCAGCCCTAACACAGATCTTTAAATCAGACCTTGTACTTACTGAGTGCCAAGACACTATAATAAACTATCTCTTTAATAAACTATCTTACTTAATCTGCATTATAGTGCTACGAAGTTGGTATGATTTTCCACATTTACATTTGAGGAAGCTAAAGCTTGGAGACATTATGGACCTTCCCAGGTAGTGCAATCAATGTAAGAATCACAAACTTCTTCACTTAATACTTTAGCCTAAACTACCTGTCCATAAGGCCCCCACTTATAACCTTGCCTTCCACCAAAGGTCAGGGAAGGGTTGCATGGCCCCAAAAAATCCAAAGTTAGGATGAAAGATAAGCCAGGGAGCCCATCAGATTCTAGGAGCCTGTGTGGGACAAAGATCTCAGTGAAAGGAGCTGCAGACAAGAAATCTATGAGTTACTCACTTTCAAATTGTCCTTACTCATCCAAATAGCTGTCTGTCATCTCTCTTCTTCCTCCCCTATTTTCAAATAAACTTTAAACTGCTTCTTTAGTTCTTTACTCACTGGGTTTAGGATGTCCTCTAGGTTTAGAATTGCAGGGAGCTAGCTGCATGTTCCAGCACAGCAGTGATTTGCTAGCTACCCTCGGACATTTCAGTGTAGCGAAGCCTTGTATGGGGTAAAACACTCCCCAAACCTTGCATTCCTATTTGCAGATGACAGTCGGTTTGAGATTTGCTTGGCCTGTAATATTTTTTAAAATATTATTAACTAATTATCACCACTTGCAAATTAAAATATGAATTTCTGAATTTTCTTGGAAGGAGAGAGAGTGCTTTGACAGAATTGGGGACTTAGGCATTGCCATCTATACCAAGGAGCCCCCAGGATAGACGGGCACAGCCTCTCCAGTTCGCCACAGTCCCCATCAGTCCTGTTTCACCAATTCATTGGGCATCTTGACCCTCATGGATGTCTGACCAAGGCTTTACAATCCACTCCCTCTTTGTATCCATGCATAAACCAAGACCCAAGAGGGAAAGCTATGTGGCTGGAGTCAGGCAGCTCGCCAAAGATAAAAATTCCAGGTACTGCACTATGTGAGGGACTGGATTCTCATTTCTCTCCCTGCTGCATATTTACTGTAGAGTAGGTTAAGAAAACTGTGACCTCAGACCTGTGTAAGAAAAATTAAGAGACTGGCTAATTAAAACATTCTCATCATCATCATGATTATCATCGTAAGAAATCATAGTTCATGTGTTACTTATGAAACACCCTTCCAAGCAGCAAAGCAAGAGAAAAGACACAAAGACCTGGCAAAGACAGCAAGCAGAGAAAGCATGTCCGAATGGGGATGTCTGATGACAGAAATTGATATGCTGTCAGACTTCCTAAAATATGTACCACACATACACTGAATGAACAATCGTCTAGGAATAAAAAATGAGTTTGATGTTTTGTCAAAATGGGTAAGAAGAAAAAGTCAATTAATTCAATGATCTCAAGACTGTCGGGTCCCAAGGAGGTGAGATTCTGGCCATTTTCAAGTCGCAAGCAATCCCCAAACTTTATCTTAGACCAGAAACTAACCTTTGATAAGTGCACAGCACTATTCTTGGTCTGAATTGCATACCGCACTTTCTCTCCTCTCTCTTTCTTGCTCTTCCCTCCTCCCCTATCTCCAGCCTGAATCAAACTCTTGACCCACAAGGATCTGGCAAACTCACGAACACTATGGCAGGAACTTTTAACAGTATTAAACCAGGAATTTCTTCAGCTCTAGAATTTGCTTAGTCTGGGGAAGGCCTTTTGGAACACTTAGGGAATCCCAGCATATCTTTGGGGTGAAGTTTCCCCATAATGGTGTTTGTGTTTGAGTTAGGTGATGCTAATACCAGGGAGGGAGGGACATGCCTAAGGTGACAGCAAGTCAGTGGGTGAACTCTTGGCTTTCCTCACCGGCACTCCAGTACATGTCACTATGTTTGGGTACGTCAGAGGGTGTTGAGTTATACTGCAGCCACATGTCCAAGCTGAGAGAAAATTCAGGTGTTATCAACACCAGTTTACGTTTCATTTCAGAGAAACTGCAGACCAAGGAAGAAAGACCTTCCCCAGGGATTATTAGTGAGGCAGGTGGTGGAACCACTGAGTTACATCCCTGGCCCCAGAAGGGATTATTAGTGGTTTCCAGGCAACACCAGGGCTAGGATTCAGATCCTTCCAAGGCAAGGGCCCAGGCCACTTGCCTTCACTGGGTTCCACCTTTTCCATATCCTTTTTGTTTGCTGGAACTTCAAGGTGAAAGCACTGATATCAGAGCCTCTAGATGGAAACAGAGAGAAGAGGCAACCAGGGTTGCAATTCTAGTTCAACCTTAAGCTGAAATGGGCTGCAGTTGGCCCCGGGCTTCATTTGTCTAACAATGTTGATTTCTCTGTGGCCAAAGAATCATGACTACTTTAAGTTCAAAGTCATGTACAAGGCAGTGCCATGTGTTGCCTGTACCTGGATTAGTCTTCTCAACTATTTGTTTCTGTCTGAGACACATAAGCTTATGTGGTTACTCACCAAATTCCAGGCTAGGGTAATCTTCATGTACCAGCTGTGCAGATGCTTGCACTGCTGACCTGCTCAGAAGTTTCTAAGTGTGTGTGTGCCTTTCACCCAGAATTATCCTGCAGAGTGGACAGGCTGACAGGCAGACAGCTTGAGGCTGACCCAAACTCCCTGCCAGAGTCCACAGTGGCCAGGTTGTGTGATCAAGTCTAGTCACATGACCTTTGTAGGCTGTATTATCCTTCTCTAGGCACTGGGGTTTTGTGATTCTTATAAAATGGCTACTGAGAGGACCAAGTGAGGAACCAATGGAGAAATGCTTGGAAATGAGTAAGGGCCGGGAAGCTGGGTACCCAGTGGCCCCTTGTTTATTTCACTGTTCTACCCACCATGAGATGATCTGTCCATGGGCAGAGATAAGACCTGTCATCTGCTGCCAAGAGATACCCTGCAAGTCAAAGGTTTGTTGTCATTTTCAAAATTTAGCAATGTGGACAAGGACTCTCCCACTGGAATCTGGACCCCTGGGCACTGGGGGAAGAAGGTTAAAGGTTCTGATCAGGACCCCTTGGTTGCCAGAACAGAATACTGGAGCAGGCCTAACTCAGGGGCTGGTTGACATTGCTCCTGCTGGGAGGCTGGAGATTACATAGAAGAATGTGGTTGAATGGGAACAATTTCAGGGATACAGGGAAAAATAGGCCCTTGTTGTAGGTCTCTGGGGTGTCTTGATATACCTGGAAAGTGCTTGGTTAGAAATGTGGTTCTTGATTCCTGTTAAGACATAAATGCCCTTGGAAGTGATAGCCTAGTGTGAGTTACATGCATTTCAGTGTTCGTGAGTTTGCCAGATCCTTGTGGGTCAAGAGTTTGATTCAGGCTGGAGATAGGGGAGGAGGGAAGAGCAAGAAAGAGAGAGGAGAGAAAGTGCGGTATGCAATTCAGACCAAGAATAGTGCTGTGCACTTATCAAAGGTTAGTTTCTGGTCTAAGATAAAGTTTGGGGATTGCTTGCGACTTGAAAATGGCCAGTTACCTTATAGGCTCAGGAAGAGCGGAGTCTCCTGGCACAGTATCCTAAGCTGCTCTTTCCAAGGAGTGTCCTTTCTCTTCCTGGTTACTGCTTACTCAGCTGGCATTTAGAGATCAGGACTCATGGCCTTCGTCTTTGCGATCCTGGTTTTTCACCTAGGCCTGTCCTTTCTGTTCTCTGTCCCTGGAGCTGAAGTAGGTCCTCATCCCAGGTGGTTCACCCTGTTACCCAAAGCTATTGGACTACTTGCCCACAAGCTTCCCCAGATGAGCCTGTTTATAAAAAATCAGCCCTCATCTTTAAATAGTACTGAAAATTCCTGTGATCATGTCTCCTTTCAACCACATTCAAGCAGGGGATGTATCAGTCTTATGGGATGGCAGCATTCCAGGGAAGATGAAGCACTTTATCTGACGCCTTGGGGGATTCTGAGGGAAAACTTATCAGGACCTAGAAATGGCCTGTGCTTTTCCTACACAGAATGGACACCGCTTGGCCTCCTCTCTTTCCTGTTCTCTTTCATTGGTAAAATGCCTTTGCTCTCTGCTGCTTCTGCTGGTTCATTTTACCTTCCTGGACAGGCCTCAATTTCCAATACAAAGGACTCAGAGAAAAGATCAACACCTTCCGTATTATTTCTGCGGATGTGCCAAGGACTCTGTTGATTGGCCTGCGGACAACCAGGGAGGCAGGAAGAGAGACCAGGTGAAGTTCTGGTCATCAGGAACATCTGCCCCTGTTGGAAAGTTAACTAGGAGGCCTAACATTTGCTGCACCAAGAGTTAAACAATCAACAAGAAATCCAAAACCTCCTGTCTGCATGTGCCTAAGGGACTAATAGAACATCCAGTCAAACTTCAAAGGCAGATTAATTGAGACATTCAAGAGTCAAACAATATGAATAAAAACACAGAAGCAGGAAGAAACCTGGTATGTTTACTCCCATCTCTGTTATCTGGCTTTTAGCCCCCTTCCAACTACCAGCCCCTACAATAGTGGCCTTGACTTGGCTCCGATAGGACAGTTCATTTTCTTGAATATTTTGCAACATTGAACACTTGATCATAATTATACTAACATTTATGTTATGTTTAACATGCCCGGAAGTCTTCTAATATCTTTTTGTCTCAACTTATCATCAACTTTGTTAGGAAGGCACTATTTATTAGCCATAATTTCAAGGGAGGAAATAGAGGCACAAAAAAGACAGAGTATCCTGCTCCAAAACACACAGGATATGGTGGAGCCAGGCATTGCTCTTGGACCTTTACCTCCAGAGGTTCTCAGTTCTCCATTAAGTCACACTTCTCAGAAAGACACACAGGTGTTTAGGCCTTTGATGGCAACTTTAAAAAGCAAGTCAGTGGAAGTAAGAAGCAAGGCAGACTGTGCTTCCTTATGTGCAACACTGAGTCATTTTAAAAAGAGGTTTTTTGTTTTTTTTTTTAGTTTACTGGTACATTTTAGGTATACAGTACAGTTACATTCATTATTGGGATCTTGATCTTGTACCTCTACATGAGGTCTTGGTTCTCATTTTTTCCCCTTGTCCTTGCCCTCCCTTCAACCCCTCTTCCCCTCCCCATTTACAAACATTTTATTTCCATTTTCTCATTTTCTCATATTTTTTTCTTTTCCCTTATTACCTTTCCCCTACCCTTCCCACTTTCCCTACACCTTTAGCCCTAAAAAGAGGTTCTTGATGGGCCAGGAATTTAGCTCAGTGGTGCCACCACCTGCCTCCTAAGGGCAAGGTCCTGAATTTGATCAGAGGTTCTTGGTGGCTCTTGGCTCACTTCATGGTTTGACTATGCCTTCTGCTCTGGTTAAAAAAAAAAAAAAAAAAAAAAAAAAAAGGAAAACAAAAAGAAAAGAGAGGGAGGAGGGAAGAAGGGAGAAAGGAGAAGAGAAGAAAGGAACAGAAGAAGGAGGATAGGGCTTCACCTTGTAACCCTAACCCTGGTCATCCTCTCCCTGTCTATATGATCCACAGAGATGCCCCAGGTTCCATCGGTCTAGTATGGAGCCCATGCATTGGAAGCCTCCATAGACAGTGTCACCCCTTTCCCTTGGGGTCTCTACTCCCTGAAGTCCTAGCATAACTGATACTAACCCAGGATGTCAGCCTTGCATGTCACTGTGCTGTTGTGAGGACATCCCCACACCTGGGGTGGAGAGTAAGGTAAGGCAAAGACTGACTGCAAAGACCAGAAAATCAATATGCGGACCTAATTCTGCTCTTCAGGATACAAATCCCTGACTCATCCACATTTCTGCAGACTGAGAAAATAATTGTTACACATGTATTTTATTATTTTCTTTCTTTCTTTCTGGTATTGGGTATTGAACTTGGGACCTTGCTCTTGAGAAGCAGGAGGCAGAACCACTGAGCTAAATCCCCAACCCTCTTTTTCTTTTTAGTTGTGTAAAATACACATAACATAAAATTTGCCTTGTCTACATTTTTAAATATGCAGTACAGTGGCATTAAGTTTACATTATTATGAAACCATCACCAACATCCTTCTCCAGAACTCCTCATCTTGAAAAATTGAAATTTTGGCCCCATTCAACACTTAACACACATTCCTTTGTTCCCTTATCCTGGCAAACATCATTCTACTTTCTATCTTTGTGGATCTGGCTATTCTAGGGACCTCACATAATTGGAATCATAAGTATTTGTTTTTCTGTGGCTAGCTCATTTCATTTAGCATAATTTACTCAGAACTCAACCATGTCCTAGCATGAGCTACATACATTGTAAATGTCTGCAGATATCACTGTGATCAAAGGACAGTTTTATTTAATAGCGTTAGTGACTCTGATGAAAACTAATAAAGGCGGTGTTTTCTCTTTGCCAGGCTCCTAAGCACTTTACATACATTAACTCATTTAATCCTTGCAATAAGGTAGGAGAAAAGTACAATTATTATCTTTGCTTTACTGATGAAGAATCTGAGACACCGAGAGAGGATGCAGCAACTTGCTCAAGGCCACAGAGCTAGCGGGTGGGAAGGGCAGGCTTTGATCACAGTTCATGGGCTCTGAACCATTGTACCATATAAGGCACTTCCCCTGGACTCCATTTGCTCAACCAGTGGATACTACAAAGAATGATGCCATCAACCCAGGGATGGAAAGAGCTTGGAAATCTAAAAAATTCCAAAACTTTTGCTGTAGGACAAATTTTTTTCTCAGTAAAAATAGTTTGGAGTTATGTAAAATTTGCAGAAGAGTTGCAACATAGCAAGTTCCCACATGCTCCTCAGCCAGTGTTGCTTTTCCTAAGGTTATTATCATCATCCATGGATACATTTGTCAAGACAAAGAAGTCCACACTGGTTATCACTCTCAGCTAGACTCCAGATTTTGTTTGGAGTTCACCAGTTTTCCCATTAGCATTTTTTATTCTGTGTTCCAGGATCCAATCCAGGATTCCAAATTGCATTGAGTTGTCACATCGTCTCAGTCTCCCCTGGTCCATGACAATTTCTCAGATTGTTTGTTTTGCATCACCTTGACAGTTTTTAGAAATCCTAATTAGGTATTTTGTAGAATGTCCCTCAGTTTAGGATTGGTTTTTTTCCCCACAATTAAATTGGGGTTATAAGTTGTTTTGAAAAGAATACCACAGAGATAAAATGACCCTATCAAATTTTATCATTATATCCACCAGTAATGTCAACTTTGACTGTCTGGCTAGGGAGGTGTTTGCCTGATTTCTCCACTGTGTGATGCTATTTGTCCCTTTCAATGCTGTGACCTTTGAAAGCAACTATATCTGACCTACTCAGCAGAGAAGGACAGAAGTAGATTAAGGCCTCTTTGTTGGAGATGAGAATATTAACTAATGCTGTTTGGAATTATTCAGCAAGGAAGACTTGTTTCTTCTCACATTTATTCATTTATTCCATCATTCATTTATGGTAGTCTCACTTATCCATGGAAGCTATGTCCCAAGACCTTCAGTGGGTGCCTGAAACCTCACCCTGTATGTACATATATGTCTATAAGGCTTTTTCCTATACATGTATGTCTATGATAAGGTTTAATTTATAGATTAGGCATATTTAGAGATTAAGAACAATAACTAAAAATAAAATGGAATAATTGTGATGA